TTCTCAGAGATAGTTTCTGTTTCTTGTTTGTTTTTATCTTTTGAATTGGATATACTTTCCTGTGTCTTTGTTTGTTTTGTGATTTTTTTTGTTGTTGTTATTGTTGGAAACTGTACTTCCACATGTAATATAATTGTGTAATTCTGGAAATAAGGTTCTTCTCTTCCCCAGGGTTTGTTGATTTTTGGTTTTGACTGCTTAGGCTGTGTCTTGTGTTGGTGACTATCCTGTGATGTAAGCCTAAGGGCTTCTTAGGTGTTTTTAAAGCCTGCACCTTTACCTGGTATGCACAGTAACTTTCTAAGTTTTCCTGTATATATGGTTGCTTTTGAATTTAAATGTCTGTTTTCTAAAAGGGAAAGAAGAAAAAAACAAAGGAGAGGAAAATCTGAAAGACAAAAAAAAGAGTATTGGCTCTTTAAATCCCTTGGAAATTGCTTCAGCTATCAGGGTGAGGCATGCAGTGATGAGGGGAGGGGTAGCAATGGCTGTCCCCTACATATCTGTTCCTTAGAGTTCAGAGTCAGCGATCAGAGTGAAAATCACCAGTTTATAGGACATGGCCCTTTTTGCCAACCTGGCTCCCAGAAGCTGCCTGCAAGCTGCTGCAGGATCACACTCAGCTGCGGAATGGGCAGCTATTACCATGCTGTGGGCTGAAATAGACTGAAATTAACCACAATGTTCTGCTCCAGTGTTCTCCTGGAAGTTGCAATCCTTTGAATAGACTCCAGAATTCCAAAATAGGTCCATTAGATATACTCTGCTGCTTCAATTTTTGAGATTGGGAGATAGATCCCTGTGCTTCCTACTCTCCATTTAATTTTGTTAATTTTTTTTAAATGTAGTTTGAAGCTCTGTTATTAAGTGCACACACATTTATGAGTTTTGTGCATTCTTATGGATTGACCCTTTCACCATTGTGAAATGTCTTTTATTTTCCTTGGCAAGATTTCTTATTCTGAAAGCTACTTCGTTTGAAATGTATATAGTGGCCCCAAGTTTACTTTGATTATTGTTTGCTTTATAGATCTTTTACCATTCATTTGTTTCTGTTCTAGAATTTACATTTTCTTTATAACTCCTTTTTCTCATTTGAGATTTGCTTTTGTTAATTTACTATGTCAGCATTGTATGATCTCAAAATACATAGTTATAATACCTACTTTAAAATCCCGATTCTCAAATTTCAAGATCTGGCTCATCTGACAGTCAACCTTTTCTTTTTCTCTTTAGAATGAGTCATATTTTGCAGCTTCATCACCTACTCAATAATTTTGGCTGTATTCTAGATAGTGGGGGGTGTTATGTTATGGTGACTCTATCATCTCTCTCCAAAGGTTGTTTATTTATTGACTTTGGGAAACAACTAATTTGCTTCAATTAAAGCTGCAAATGATGCCTCTTTAGGACAGCTACAACTCAATTAAGTTGTAGCCCTGGCTGCGCTGCTTAGGGTCTGCTTTGTGTATGTAGGTTCTGGAGTCAGCCCAAGATTTGGACCAAATTTACTCACAGAAGCTGGGCTTTCCCCTTCTCTCTGGCTAGGTTTCCTCCTAACGCACTTTCCAGTGATGGCGGGTGCCCTGACCTCTGTCTTGTAGTTCTTATAGTAAAGGAGATGGTCAATTTTCTACTTTTATTTGCTATCCTTATACTTTTTCTGAGAGCTATTGTAGTATACGTATGAGTGCATATATAGTTTGTGTGTGTTTGTGTGTGTGTGTGTGTGTGTGTGTGTGTGTGTTTGGTTTTAGGATGTGTGGGTGGTTGTCGGTAGTTGAGGAATGCAAGAAGGAATATGGTAAAAATAAAGGGGGCTGTGCCTGAAAGTTACTACTGGGTTGATATGCTGGAGAGAAAGAAGTGTTCAGGTGTTTGTCTTTTGTTTTCCCATCTCAAACTTCACCTTGACACAGCATTTTTCTCTCGATTTGAATGCAGTATTGCCCATAGGACTAGCTTTCTTTGAAGCCACGTAGAGACTTTGTGACATACCCTCATTTGTACTGTATATGCCATTTATTCCAGGGAGAATCAGAGGGCAAGCTCATGAAATCCTTAGCAGAAAGTATGAATGTGGACCACCCTGAGGGCCTGTTGAAGTCACAGATTGCAATTTTTTCATTAACCTTAAAATTTTAAGTGTCTGGGAAAACTGCTTAGGGAATTAAGTCAATATCAGGCAGTGAAGATGCTTCTAGAAATCTTGGAAAGTCATTTTTCTGTCTTCTGACTCAGATTCATCTTACTGGTGAAGGAAATTTGACACAATGAGTCTTTGCTTGTTTGCCAGTGGTTGTTCAGCTTTGAAAAATCATAAGTTCTTTGAAGACTTGCAATTAATAATTAAAAAAGAAGGCTGGGACCAGCAGTTGGCATAATGGCTATGTCGCTGGACTCCCATGTTATCAACTGGGGTTCAAGTCCTGGCTTAAACTCACGCCAGGCACGTGTGCATGTGTGCCCAAGATCCTGAGAGGAGGATGGAAGGATGGAGGAGAAGGGATTGTGGCATGACCATTCCCCTCTCCTGCCCCCAGGGTGATTTCTTGTTTTCTGTCTCTCTGTCTGTCTCTCCAGCGAGCACATGTGGCAAATAGCAAAAATGTCTCTTTTAAAAATATATATACACACATACACATACACATTTCTATACACACTTACACATACTCAGGATGTGTCATAGACCTGGATGTAAAAAAAGTGCAGATCAGGGTCTAAGAGCTGAGCCAAATGCTGTACTGGAAACTAGAATTTGAGCGAATGAAGTGTATTTCTTTACATGTCCGTTTACTAGGCATGTATCTGTGGAATCTATGTTTTATAATTTATGAGTAACTCATAAAGATAAAATATTTGTCTTTAGTTATTTTTATAACAGATTTGATTATTGCATTTAAAATAAGAATATGTGTAAAAGGTATTAAATTATTTGAGCATAGCTATCTAAAATGTTAGTAGAATTCTAATGAAGTGAGTCTATTTTTTTTTTCTTTTTTTCTTTTTTTTTTTTTCACTATAGGGCGCGTGCGCTCGCCAGACAGACAGAGAGAGACATAGAGACAGAAAGCGAGAAATCACCCCCCAGGG